ATATATATATATATATATATATATATACAGTATATATATTAGTATAGATATTTATATTTACAGTATAAATAAAAATATATAGTTGCCTTTATATTTTAGGACGAGAGACCTTCTTGACTAGTTGTTTTAGAAAATATGTCGTTTTGCAGCTTTTCAATAGTGGCCTGTTGAGCGGTGACTGGCGTCAGCTGTGCCTCCTGATGCTGAGATCAGGCCCGTGCAGCACATTAACATTAGATTTTATTTTAGGGCCAGTCATAATATTAGATGTTGTTTCGATCACTGGTGATTGTGTAGGCGTGCGCATGGGGTCTCGGTGTTAAGTGTCTAACACGTGCGGCTGCAGCTCTAATTCAAACTATGGCAAGGTTATGACTGGCACTTAACTGCGGTGAGGAAAGCATTGCTTAGAAGCTAATAAGCAGTGGATTGTTGAGAGACCTTGTCCTTGAGTTGCTCTTCTCTCAGTCGTTCCAGCTCCTCGGCCTTTACACAATCCTGCAGCAAAAGAGAGGGAGATATTAAGAGAACAGAGAGGTGCTGAGGGATGAATGTGTAAGAACAACAGGAAAAGAAAATAAAGGAAATGCACAGTCCTTCAGAGTGTCCTAGAGAAGATGCTCTACCTGATCATTCCTCCAGCGGTAAAGTACAGGAGAATGCAACAATGGATTCTTGTTATATTGTGTGCATTGACTGATATCCTCTATTTTTCTTATTCTTTTGTAGTGGAAAACAAAAGCAAGGTCTCATGCAAGGTGTGAGCGTTAATCACAAGCATTGAAACACACTGCACTTTATTTTCTGGGCATGTTTTATAAAACATGCTGTGACGATTGGTTTAGCAGATAACCAAAAATATAAACCCAAAACTAAGATACACAATGAAGCAATGAAACATGACAAAACAGAAGGCTGTCTTTATCTAGGCTACATAGCAAACTGGAACTATAACAAAACACAACATAATAGAAAGCTACCATAAACAGTGTTCTTATAGGTTTGTGCCGTTGATTGTAGCAGACAGTGTACGATACTGACAAGATATCATACATTTGGAATGTTTTTACATTGTCCAGTGCTGCATTGTAACTAGAGTGTACGTACATATACAAAACAACACAAAACACATACATACAAACAAACAAATAAAAAAGCCTTGAAATATCAATACTTAATTGTATCAATCAAACAAAATAATTTTAAAATGTAATAAAAAATGAATGAAATTAAATCATGATCAAACCATGATCAGATTAAACGATGCCTTATATAACTGAGCAAAGTTTCATAATCAAATTAAATATTTACATCTCAGTACTAAATTTTCTTCTTTCTTTTCTCCTCCCTTTTCTCCTTTCGAAATAATTTGACTATGATATATAACCGAGATATAGCCTTGATTGGATTCAAGACATTACGGGAAGCAAACAGAGAATGAAAGCTTTTCAACAGGTGCTTGTAATGACGTAGCGTTCCTGCTCTCAGAATACTGAAACCATTAAAACTCAATCTACACTCTCAGGAAAAAAAAAAAAGGATCAAATCTGTCAAATGTAGACTTTAGGTACTAATTAGTGCTGTCAAATGATTAATTGCATTCAAAATAAAAGTTGTTGTTTATATAATATATGTGTGTTTGCTGTGTACATTTATTATGTATATATAAATACACAAATCAGATTCTAAAAATTAAGTACTTGTAATTAGATGATATTACTTCTTATATATATATGCTCATAATTAGATTACTTTTACTTTTAATAGATTACATGATTACATATTATTCACACAACGGCAGTAAATTATTCATAATTTGATTTCTGACATGACAACTTTCGGAGGGATTGGCATGGTAATGTACATGACAATGTTTAATTTGTTCTTGGTCTTGGTATTTAGTCTTGGCGGAATATATCTGCTATACTGCTGCTGCGGCAGAGGAAGTACCGAGACTTGCTACTGCCAATACATCCACAGCATGCTGCTGTGAGCATGTAAGAAATACTGTTGCTGCAAATATAACATACATGAAATAACCCCATATAGCATACATGACCTCGTAGCAGATCTATACAGGTGGAGCTGGGGAAGGTGGAGGGTTTCTGAAGCAAGCTGCAACTGCTACGGCAAGCACTAGTCATATATTTGAATGTTGAGCAGCGAGCTCATTGGCTACCGATACAGGAGAAAACCAATCAGCTGTGCCATGTGATGTTGTCATTAGGTCAGATTGAGTTAGACCTATCGGACTGCGCCATCTAGAGTTTCATGCCAGAACTCTGTATATGTATATTATAGAGGTGCAATGGTTCACAAAAATAACAGTTCTGTATGTACTTTGGTTTTAAAGTTACGTTTCAATATGTTTTCGATAGAGCAAAAGAAAAAACTATACATTTGCTTATTTTAGTGTATTTGGTCTTGGCGGAATAGATCTGCTACGCTGCTGATGCTGCTGCTGCGGCAGAGGCAAATACCGAGACTTGCTACTGCCAATACATCCACAATATGCTGCTGTGAGCATATAAGAAATATTGCTGCTGCAAATATAACATACATGAAATAACCCCCATATAGCACGTTTCTAGACCTTGATCGTGGTAATTACATTGCTGTCTATGGGAGGGTCAGAGAGCTCTCAAGATTCATCAAAAATATCTTAATTTGTGTTCCGAAGATAAATGGAGGTCGTATGGGTTTAAAATGACATGAGGGTGAGTAATTAATGACAGAAATGTCATTTTTGGGTGAACAAACCCTTTAATAATACTCTTGTTCCTGACAATCATGACCCATCCCCTAGCTCTAACCTGGCAGTCTAAAGTCTGCTTCACGCTTCAGCGTCAGAATGGTCAATTAGTGAGGTTATTTAACTATGTCAACTGTAATAAACTATTTAATATTATAATTTTAAAATTTTATTTAGTAAATTTTCTTATTTATATATTTGATCAGTATTGGTACTACCAAGAAGCAACAAAATGTTGTTGGGGGATCCAGAGAAAAACTGTGAAAAATAAAATAAATAAAATTAAATTATTTTAAATATATTTTTTTAAATAGTAGGTAAAAATTCTTCTATCTAAAGATATCATATATATTATTCTATTGACAGCCATAATTTTGTGTTGCTTTTTGGGTTTGTATATCCAACAGCAGTAAAATAAATAAATAAATAAATAAACACACACACACAGACTATAAACCCAAGATTATTGGTGCATGAGGTTGACTGTACCTATAATAGCAGCAGACTGTGTGGATTTGATGAGAGGCAGTGCACTGTCATATGCTTCTTTAGGGATGTAAACAAAGCGTTCTTTCAGTTTGCTCTTCTTCAAGAGACGGTGCAGCTCGTTCAGGAGGCCGACCCACTTGGTTCTTTCCTGATCGCTGTCAGCCAGAATCAAGATGGAGCACTTTTTATTGCTGGATTCAGAGAGCTGTGATGCTGTCACCTACTGCGCCATCTAGAGTTTCATGCCAGAACTCTGTATTTGCCCTAATTTTTTTCCCCTTAAATGTTCCCTTTAGTTCATTCATGAACCCCAGTTTGGGAAACCCTGGCCTAATGTAATGTTTAATACACTTCATGATGTTGATAACGAAGAATGGAATATATTTTTGGGTCAAAAGTAATCTAAAAGTAATTAAAAAGTAGTCAGTATACATTACCTAATATGTGTAATCCAACAGATTACATTACAAACTATAATTTCCGTCATGTAATTTGTAATCAGTAACAGCCTACAATTTGTAAGTAATCTACCTGGCACTGCTAATACAGTATGTACCATTTAGGTGTAAATAAGGTATGAAAAAGTACCTTTTTAGCTTTTGTACCTTAGGGTACCGCCCCAGTGACAGCTTTGTATGGTGTGGAGATAAAGCTGAGAAACCGCACTACTTAGTATGATCCCTGAGCTTCCTCTTAACCCGTGCATTAACTTTACCAAAGCTGTGGCACTTAAAATGAAAGGTCCATTACAGAAAGCAGCAGATGTTCAGAGCTCAGGAGAGCTGAAGAAGCGAATGTGAATAATAGCAACGTGTAAAAGTGGAAAAATGTTCTATTTTATTGTGCTGTGTATAACATGCTGTTGTGTTCTGAGCTTTGAGCACCATCAAGAGTACAGCGAGAGGCTTGAGACGAATAAGGGTCAGACGTGTCAAGGATTTCAGAGACCCAGCAGACCTAACCATCAGGGAGCCTTTTACTTTTAAAAAGAAATAAAAAATGGCAGATAAAGGAGTGTGAACTTCAAGCTCACTGCGATCCTTACGTTTTCGCATGCCACATGTAAAAGTGCACCCCAAAGTGCATGTACAGGAGGCTATTAAATAGGGTTTTGCTGACCTCTCCTTTTCAAGCAGTGCCAGTGTCTTGTCAACCTCTCCTTGGAGTTCATCAATCTGAAGCATTTTCAGCCGATGCTCTTCTTCCTACAAACACACACACACACACACACACACACACACACACACACACACACACACACACACAGACACACACAGACAAAGGCAACTGAAGGTGAGACGCACAGGGAGGAAAGACTTCGTTAAAAGTGTCAAGCGGATGCCTTTGCATAATGCATATCACACCTTTGAGATGATCCATTAGCAGGTTGTGGTGTGGGAGCCGCTAAATAAGCTGACTTGACTCCATAGAAAAGACACAATATCCTCTCTTCCTTTCTTTATGTGTGAACAGTGGATGAACAATCAAAGCCCAGTGGGTTTAGATTAGCCCGAACGGGGCCTAGTCATGAGGGGACCTTTAACCCCCACCCCCCATTTGTTCCTTCTACCCAGACATTGATTTATAATTTTAATATCTCTAATTTCCACCGCAGCGGCGCTTTCCAAATGTCATTTTCCAATTTGTGTCAAACCGCGTGAGCATATTTCTTAATACGGCTTATGACAATCTCAGCAGCAGGGCGGATATGCAATTCAGATGGAGTGTCGTACAGACACGGACATAGCCGCCGTCGCCTGTTTGTGTGTTTATCTTTATCAACGGCTCGACGTTTTGGGAGGGGGTCACAGACTAAGAAGCAGCCTGTTTACGACGGGGGGAAAAATTAGGTTTGCTGAGCAAAATGGCTGCAGGGGACGAAAAAAAAAATCCAATGAAACCATGACCAAACCTCAGATTAAATGATGCATTATATCACTGATTAAAGAAACAAACAAACAAAAAAATATTATTCTTATTATTTTTAAGTTTCCATTCTATGGCAGTGTTTTTGATATTGATAATATTCATCAATCTTTCATGACCCCCAGAATATTTAGTTGTATGAATATGTAAACAGCGAAGATATGAAAAGAAAGAACAGAGCCTGTTATTAAACAAACAAACAAAGAAACAACACATTTTATTAGCTTCATTCTTTTTTATACACACTTAAATGTGGGTAAGTTCCATCAAAAAAAAAAAAAAAAAAACAATATTTGGATATGCAATTCAGATGGAGTGTCGTACAGACACGGACATAGCCGCCGTCGCCTGTTTGTGTGTTTATCTTTATCAACGGCTCGACGTTTTGGGAGGGGGTCACAGACTAAGAAGCAGCCTGTTTACGACGGGGGGAAAAATTAGGTTTGCTGAGCAAAATGGCTGCAGGGGACGAAAAAAAAAATTGGCCGTAAATCTGGTAATTACGTTTACCGTAATAAGAGTTATGATGGCGGTAATGATAATCTATTAAAATATGCATCAACATTAAGGGCTGGAAATGGAATGTGGGATGGGCTCGTGGTCGTTATATGAATATTTATGATAATTAGAACAGGGCCTCCCCCTTTTGAGCAGCGTGGACTCTTTTCAGACTGTGTTGACGCTTTTCCACGCTTATTAACCTCGTAAATCTAGCGACTTTTATATTTTCATTATTAAAAAAATGAATGTACATTTATAACACTATACTTTGTGTTATATAACACTGGTATTAAATTACAGATAACTAGTTAGAGTGTTTTAAACACAACGTCTGAGGAAGTGATTATGCAATCTTATCCAAAATATAATTCTTGTGGTTGTGAATGTAAAATCTGGTCAATTTGTTGTCAGTATTCCACTTATATTCCATTCCACTTGTGTCTTCAGCATACACACACACAGGGTGAATATATATATATACACAGTATATATATATATTTTATACACACTTAAATGTGGGTAAGTTCCATCAAAAAAAAAAAAAAAAAAAACATTATATGGTGTTGAATGTTTGGCCATCATGTTAGCTTACTTGTCCATGAACAACTTCTGTCTACTCCTTTTGGTTTACACAGATTTTCTTCTTCACGTGTTTTTGGATCTGGAGATGCTGTACTATTTCATTAGGTCTGTAACTGCACCCCCTACCATATAACAGTGAAAACTGTGATTGCTGGAATAATTCGTCAATGACGGGGAAGCGCCGTGTCTTAAATTATAGAAGATTTCATCAATGGCAGGAAAATAATTAATACGGCTTATTACGATCTCAGCACTAGAATAAATATGCAGTGTAGATGGAGTGTCGCACAGCCAAGGATGGGGCTGCCATGGCCTGTTTGTGTGTTTGTCTGTCTTTATCAGCAGCTCAACATTTTGGATGAGGCAAATTTTACATCTTTTTTTTTCTTCTGATCAGTGTAATCAATCTCTCAATATTTTGTCATAGAAAAGTCATAGAAATACTATGGTCGATTTTATCTTTTGGTACTGGAGCAAATGGGAACACAAACATTATTTCTGTTGTAGTTTCCATTCACCACTATAGTAGTTTACCCAACTAAGACAACTTCCACTTCTGAGAAATGTGAAAAGGCTAATGGGAAGAAAGGTTTGGCGGTGGTACCTTGAGGTTGGCGCGGTGGAGCTCCTCTCTGACGCCATTGAGCTGCTCTTGAAGGAAGGATCTCTCTTTCTTCCACTCCTCTTCTCTCGCTTTCAGCTCCTCTTGTGTCCTCCGGAGCCGACACCATTCCTGTAGGCACACACACACACACACACACACACACACACACACATTATGGGTCATACAAAAGATTAAAAGTGAAGGAAATGGATTCTATGATCCCTCATTCAGGCCAAATTCAAAGGCCCCTTACAGTACAGCCCCTTAGCTAACAGTAGAACAGTTCACCTCTACTGACCTTTACCTTCAGCTTTCATGCGGCTATTGACCCATGCCAAGCGACGCTCTGAGTCTTGCTTCTCGGTCGAAAAAAAAAAAGGCAAAAAATAAAAGGAACAAGTTGTCGGAAATGAAATTTCAATTCATCCAGTCCCTTTATACACTGGTGCAAGAGCTGGCGAGGAGAGCAGGGGGATCAATAGTGTTTAGACAGCAGAGCAGATTTTCTAAGAGCCGAATCAATAGGAAGGAGAGAGGGAAAAATACCTAGGCTTTTCTTTGGGTGTTGCAATAAATACGAACAAATCAGTGGCCTTAGGCCTTAGGCTAAATGGATTGACCAGCCGTTTCCGACTCCTGTGCTGTAAATAAAGATCTATTGGGAAAGCTGTGCGGTCCCTGAGAGGGGGGAGAGATGGCCAGTGCCGAAGCACTCTCACACACACCTGCGGCGAACTGACAGACTCAGGAACCGCCCTCAGACGTGACATCATCGTGACATCATTAATCATGCGCTGCGGTGATCCCAACAAAACACTTACTGCTGTTTTTCTAACTTTGGGTCCCAGGGCTCTTTTATTAAAACTAACAGATTTATATATGAAGATCGGATTAAAAATGACTTTATCATGCCTTTATTAGTAACTTTTGCTATTTTTCAAAGGCCTTGACCTTTGAATGTACAGGCTTGTTTTACCCTTGTCCCAGATCCAGACTATCCATCTTCAACTATGAAAATCCATCATAAAAATATGAAGTTGTGGCAAAATTTTCAGCATGAACAATTACTCACTTTACTTAGTATTAAAGGTAAACAAACAAACAAGGTAAATCAAGGTAAATAAAAAATAAAAAAATAAATATTTTTTTATTGTTCATTATTTCCAATCCAGCTGCTATTTTGTCAAATTATGCAAAAATACTATTGTGAATACTTGTGAACAATGAAATGAGCCCAGATGAGCAAGATAGAGGGTTTTAATTATTATTATTATTATTATTATTATTAAATTTGAATGTTTTAAATGTAATTTATTTTACAGAATGTTATTAAACATATGTCATTTGAGATTTGGTGGGAATTTGAAACAAAACAAAAAAGTAAAATAAAATAATATAATAAAATAAAATAATAAAATAAAATAGTTAGTGGATAAATTAACTATAAAAACATAATAATATGGGCATAATTAAAAAAATTACCCTACTATATATATTCGTGAAAATTATTCTATTTTGCATTTTTGAGATGTAATTCAAATGTTCATTACTATATTGTTATCATAAGAATATAAATGAACGTTGAAAAAATTCCATCATTTTCAGAATGTCTTTTTAATTCAAATCTATTTATTTCATAATGTTTATTTGTTTAAAATGTCCAGCTCTATTCTGAACCGCAGACTTTCAGTGTGGTCTCAGACTTTTGGATCTCACTGTACATTTATTTTACATTTCCACCCAGCACTTCTGAATGATAGTTCTCTCTCCATTTACAGCTGTTGCCGTGAGGAGAGTGATCCTTAATGAAGAGGTTCAACTTGGCCACCTCCATGACTTTGGTCTAATTACTGATGAACACCACAGGCTAGCGAGGGCAAACTGTGCAGAAGTGCATGATATATGAGCGCGCTCTGCACTCCTCAGCCAAAACAAAAACATATCACAAAAGCCAAAGCAATAAAAGTACCGTCTCGCTCCAAAAGAAAACATTAATCAATAAAATGGAGAGAAATGTGGAAATAAAAATATGAACTGTGCTATTGACCCTCGCAGCAGGACTGAGGGTGGACTCTCTGGCTTGCCATGTTTGGACAGGTTACATTGATTAAGATCTTCTACACAGTGTCATGATCAGCCCATTCCACAAAGAGAATGAGTGAGAATGACTGAAAAATAAAATACAAATAAAATATTTTGTTATGTGCTTTAATTATTTTTTTTTTTTTTTTTTTTTTTTTTTTTTTTTTTTTTTTTTTTTTTTTTTTTACAATATTTTTTAAAATTTAAATCAGATTTAGTTTTAATAATTTTAAATGCTTCAACTTAAAATAAAAAATATATAAAATATATAAAACAGTCATTTTGTTATGTGCTTTATTTAGCTTTTTCTTTTCTTTTTTTTTCTTTCAGTTTAGCTTTAATTTAGTATTTATTTCAGTTTATTTTAATACTTCAATAAAAAGTTACAAGTATGCAATTATATATTTATACGCAAAAAGTACAAGAAAGTAATTTTATGTGCTTTATGTAGCTTCATTTTATTAGTTTTTTTTGTTTTAATTATTTTGATTTAGCTTTAATTTATTCATTTTTTTTTGTTTTAGTAATGTTAATACTTCAACTTAAAAAACTAAACAAATAAATAAATAGAATATAATTAAAAAATAAATGTGTGAAAAAAAAATTTAAATCCACAAGGGGGGAAAAAAAAAATGTTCATAATTCATAGTATCAGTGTGTCATTGCCACAAGTACAACGTTGAACATTTCTACTTCCCAAGCTGAACTGAACGTGGAACATGCTAAGGAACAATTTTATTAATGAACACAGGAAGAGGCTGTGCTTGTACACAGGAGGTCTTTTTTGACTTTGTGAAGAGTCGCTTGGTTCAGGATGTGTTTGCATATTCAGTGCTGATATATTCTGCTGCAAAGGTCACTGTAGATTGGGCTGAGACTGTAGAGGGACACCACAGTTCAGCTAAACACCCTCTCAAGAACATTAGCTTAATAATACCATTCCTCACACCCGATCAGAGCCAGAAAATCAGAAGTCAAAAAGGACATTCTTTGACCCAGATTCCTTGATTGGAGAGAGATGTTAAAAAGCACCCTTTCAAAGTCTGCCTTAACAAACCAGGAAAGTTCAACTTCCTAAAGTTTTTAAGAGGACATATTTGAACTAAAACCCACTTGGACTAAAATAGCCCATGTTCATTGCCTTGACTCATGCAACTACATGTTCAGGATATGTACTGGTTTAGTATTTACTTCATTACATTTTCATTATTGTTGCTTTACTATTATTAATGCTCTTGCTAATCATTACATGGCACTTTAGAATATTTGATTTTGATTGGTTGATCATGGCATTCTGCGGTCAAATATTTTGAAAATGACCACTTGATTGTATATTTGACCACTCTTTATCAGTTGCTTCATGCTGGCATCCTGTTTTGTCTTATTGACCAGCTGGTAGATAATGTTTTTACGAAATAAACTTAAATAAACACCCTGTGCACTATAAAGCCAATGCTATGAAAATACATGACAGATTTGTATGGTTTATCATCAGACACTTTGGAAACACAGAGCTCCACTGGACACAGTCATTTAATCCAAACAGTCCTCACTGTGAGGTCCGTCTGCAGATGTTTCCTCAGGTCCGGACAGTAGCTTGTGTCCAGAGGCACTCCGGCATGCAGCCGCCCCGGGCCATTCTCTAAGTGCTCTTTACTGTGAAAACACAGCTGGTCTCTGGGGGCCAGGATGAATGAGGGGCCTCCCAGACCTGCACAACACTTTGAATAATAAATCCATACATCATAAGGACACGTCAGAGCTTGATTCACGGCAGTAAAGCGCTGAGGTATTAGCTTTAATAACACAGGCTGGAGTCAGGCACTTGCTCTTTCCCGACAAACACGGGCAAATCAATTAATTCCACTGACATTCCCCCCGAAAGCACACAATATAAATTCGACGTGGCCACGACTTTCGTGTTTTTGTTTTAGGAAGAAGGGGCGAATGTGTGAGTCATTTCTTACTTTTATGCCCTAATTTCTGAAATATTCTACCGGCTAGCACATTTGTTTTTGTTGAGAACTTCGTCTTAAAAGGTTATAGGATCTGGAGCGCAGGAGAAAGACAGGTAGCTCGAGCTGAATCTCTCTGTTACCAGAAAGCATAAGGTGCTCTATTCTCCTGCTGTTGATATTCTGCACATAATGATGGATAGAAGCATCAGCCTGGCCTATCAATCCCCAGAGACTTATGTAGCATCGCTTCAAGGGTAAAACATAGCTCAGACTCGGAACGCTAATGGCCGTAGGAAGGAATCAGGGGAGTCTGGTTGGAAACACTGAAGGATGACAATAATAGTGACAAGAGAACTGGAAATCACTAGAATCTTTTGAAATGGACTCAAAGTTTGGACGTCACCAGCTTGGGTCACACTACCATTCAAAAGTTAGGGGTCAGTAAGATTTCTTCATTTTTTTGTAAAGAAATTTATATTGCAAAGCTGCATTTATGTGATCAAGAATACAGTAAAAATCCATCAGAAATTATTCTAATAAGCTGATTTGCTGCTTTTTAATTGGAAGTGTCACTTAAGGTGATGAAGCTGGATTTTGAAATATGCTAAATGGTTAAGTTATTATTTAGCAAGACTGTAACCACCTAAATCAGCGATTAAAAAGAGCATTTTGGCAATTCCAGGTAATTCACCATAGAAATATGCTGTTTTTCAAATTTATGGCTTGTTAAGCGCCACCTATAATCCGATCTCCATAAAAGTTGGCATGCTTCTTTAGTATCATATGCAGCATGTGCTCACCTAGTTTCGTGAAGTTTGAAGTTTTCCTTTAGGATTTATACGCTTTTGGGTAGATTTGGCCACAACCATTTTAAACAACCCTGGTATAGCTAACCAAAGTGTAAAGTAAATTTGCAGCATGCCAAATGACAGTGGCATCACAGTTCAGGAGCAGGAGTCAGGTTTCATTTATCACGTGAGGAGAGTGAGTCGAGCTGACTTACAAGAAGAGTGAGGTGAGAAAGACAAGATGATGGGAGAAGATTTAGTTTTTTTAACAACGAAATGCAAAAGCACCTGTTTGGCAATA